GGAGATTAGTGAGATGATGACGCGACATTTGGCGCCACAACAGCAACGCGTCGCCTACACGGTCAACCACGTGTTCATTAGCTCCGGTTTGGTCGGCTGGTTGGTAGTGCAATGACGAGAAGAGCATAATTTGTTACTCAAAATAGGATAAAGCTAATGGTCATTGGGCGAAGGTGTAGCTAGCGTCGCTCATTGGCCCGTGAATAATGTGATGTCCATGGAAATTACATTACTCTAGTTATTAATAAGCACACTAATAGCTAAGCGATAGAATAATAGCACTAAAAATTAAACAAAATAAAATAAAACAAATAAAACAGAACTAAGTTAAATAAATTTGAATAATGCAAAATAAAATAAATTTAAAGGAAGTAGAAAAATATAATAAAACAAAATACCATAAAGCAAAGTAAAATAAAAAAAAAAAATATCATAAAAACTAAATTAAAATAAACTAAGAAAAAAATATAATTAAATGAAACATCATAAAATAAAATAAAATAAAATAAACCAATATAAAATGAATTTTACTTCATAATTAAATTAAATTAACTAAAATATAATATAATAAAAATCTAAAATAAAATTAAGAATATTTAAATAAGATTAAATAAAATATATTAAAACAAAATAAAATAAAATAAAATGAGGTCAAATGAAATAAAAAAAATTCAAATAAAATAATACAAAATAAAATGAAATAAAGTAAATAAAATTGAATTAAATTAAGTTAAATGAAATAGTTTAAAATAAAAAAATAAATTAAGTTAAATAAGTGAAACTAAATAAAATAAAATGAAGTAATATAATATAAAATAAAATAAAATAAAACAAAAAAAAACCAAAATAAAATTAAATGAAAAAAATAAAAAAAAATAAAATAAAATAAAAATAAAGTAAAATAAAATAGAATAAAATAAAATCAAATTAAATGAAATCACTTATAATAAAATAAAATTAAATTAAATTAAACAAAATTTTGTGAAATAAAATTAAATAAAATATACATTTATATTCTCTTTTAAGTTTGAACAACTTTCTCAGTCATTAAAAATATTTTTTCCAATTCGCAGAAACACAATAAAATTTAAAAACTTTATGGCGATAGGGTTGTAAGCTTCGTCCTTAATCTTATCAGCTAAGAGCCTATCAATTTTTCATTCTCTCCTTTGATTGAAAAAGTTTAAATGTAAATAATAGCACTTTAAAATTTTGTTGTAATTATTTTTAATTAAAACTCACGTTCAACCCCAAATCAACATCACTGTTGTTTAGCAGATTGCAAGCAATTTAAACAAATGTGCATTCTTTCCACTATCAGCCTGCTTCTTTTCCTTTTACATTAAATCCGCACTCAAACCCAATAAATGAAACTTAAAATTTATTGTCTGCGAATTTCTACGTACTTTTATGGCTAAACCTATCCATGACTCCAATGCCCGCAAACACCCCCTCACCGGCGAGAGGATATTCAAATATATATAAATATATACATACATATACAACACTTAAGCAACTGTACAGGGATGTTTTTTAATTAAAATTTTATTTCATGTAGAATAGCGGATGAGGACGAATGATCGAACATTCGTGATGAGCGTGTCCAAGCGAAGTTGAGACAAAATATTGTAAAGAATATCAACTTTTTTCTCGTTTTTCTTTCATTTTGTTACACTTCGGGTTATAAAATAATGAAAATTGAAAATGTATGAGAAAATCAAAGAATGTGGCCGAACAAAAAATAAATGACCCAACAGGATGCCAAGCAGACGGACGGACCAGCAAGCAAATCGCTCAGAAACAGGCGCTGGTACATAGTCAAAAGCCTTTGTTTGCTCACATCACAAAGGGTGACAAATGTATTGAGTGAGATGTATAGCGAATGTATGTTGTGGGTACATATTTACGGCATGTGTATAGACAGGCGAATAGACGAGGCTGCAACCAAAAACAAAGGATTAAAATAAAAGTCATGGCCAGTGGCGTAATTAGAGTTACACCAACACTGCTGTTATTCCGGAGACAGAGGGTAGGTTGCTAAGGTAGCCTCGTAAGAAAGAAATCGCGCCATATGTATATATGTATATTCGTCTAAAAGTATTAAAAAATTAGTGATTTTATAATCATTGTAGTGCATTATTTTTAAAACCGAAAACAAGGTAAAATATTTAAAAAAATTATGATTATAGATAATTACCAAATCTTCTACACAAATCAAATATATGTGCTAACGCGAGGAGCGTAAAACCTTGCATAACTTTGCGAGCTGGCTAATTGCTTCCTGTTGTTTGGGTTTTTGCTTTCCAGCATACATGTATGAATGATTTTGCATGCATATATGCAAGTGGTTACCATGCTTATCGAATAATTTTGGACGCTTCGTTGGTAGTACTCGTTGTAAGCTGGTTACTCGTTGACAGTGAACTCAGTATTGAACATTCCGTTAGGTTTTAACAGCTCATGTAGGCTAATTCTCTACCAAATCGCCACAAGTTTGCCCTCAGTGCAGGTTTTCAAGTCATTTACTGAAGATCATCGTCCTTTGACCATGAATATTTTCATTGCATCTTCTCCTCTTCTATCGCTTTTTACCGTTCGTGATGAATCGTTTCAAAAAGGGTTCTATTTTAAGATGCGTTTCACTGATAGTAATTTGTTTAATCAATTTCTGTTTTTTTAATTCATTTGGCAACCAAATATCTTTCTAAAGTACCTAGTCTTGTTTAAATGACTCTAAATTGTTATGTGAGTGAAGCCCAATGGCACAGGACTTGTCGAGCTACTTGCGTGCTTTCATCGGCTGTTTAAGGGTTTACTTAACCACTCTTAGATCCGGCGTTCACTTACAAAATTATCACTGTAAACCCTACAAAAGTTATCGTCAGGTTTGTTTTGAAATATCACTAATTTTGCGATCAACATAACTTTTCACACGAATGACCATTTAGAGCACTATACGGCACAATGCAAACCAAGCCGGCTTCGTAGCGATTAATGTCACAATAATCATCAATTTTAATTCGTTTGTTTTTCAGCCAATAAAACCAATGAATGGAAATGGTATCGTTAAAGCAGTTCCCTAAATAATTTTTATGTATTTCATTTTTAACCGAAAGGCAGTCTCTCGTTAATGTTAAACCTTTAACAGCTAATGTTAAATTGAAGTGCGCTGTTAATAGCTGTGCTCGTTGAGAAATGTTAGTAAAAATTAACCAGTAACGAAATTGAGAGAAAAAAAATAAAAAATGTTTTGTTAAGTTTATTTTCCATATTAACAATGCGAAATCGCTTTGTTATTAGTTGAGCATCTCTGGTGCAAACCATTTGGCTAATGGGATGGACTATTTCGCGTAACAGCTCAATAGAGACAAAATTTATACACACAGTATATCAATTAAAATATGTCAATATGTTTGCAAAATGAAAAAAATAAACAAATTCAATTTTCAGCTTGATTTTTATCAACTAAAACATTTTGCTCTAAATTATTTTTTTAAATAATATTAGTCTGAGTAATCTTGACATAAATAATTCACACAAATTCCAGAACTCAAGACATAAAATTAAAAAAGATATTAAAGTTCAGAAGACAGCAAATATTATGGCTTGAATTCTGAATGAATTCTGAATGACCCTAATAAGAGCGTTTTGGACCCCGTTTGCCCTTCTTCTTTAAAAAAGTCCATAAATTTTCTATGGGGCTTAAGTCAGGACTCTGGGCAGGAGTGTCAATCACTTTACTGCAATTATATAGTAGCTACGTCGTGCACAGTAATGATTTATGCTTGCGACCGTTGTCCTGGTACAGTTTATACCTTAATTTATTACGGGATTCATGGTCCAGAATGTGCAAGTAAAACTCCTTCGTCATCACGTCATTGAAAATTCGGAGTTCAACAACACTTTCGACGAAACGCAACCCCAAACCATTACAGAAAGCTTAAAAAATTTTACTGTTGGAATTATATTTTTGAGTTGGGTTTTCTCCAAGCTTTACTGGGCCCATTATGATAGTACAACATTATTTTTGTCTCGTCGCAAAAAGTGACGTCATCCCAGTATTGCGCAGTCCTATAAAGATTGGTAATAGAATAGTTGAGCAGCTTCTCAATATTAACTGCCGACAAGAATGGTTTCTTTCTAGCTATTTGTGAGGAGTACTTGTGTATTTTAAACACTTTTCGGGTTGTCGCCTGACTTACTGTTTTATGGCAATCATTTTTAAAATCTAACGTCAACTTTTTCAGGGTTGTTTGAGGATTAGCATTGATCTGCTTTAAAATTTGATGGAAAATATTTCCGCTAATACCTTAGCCGATTTCCCTTTGTTGTAGTTAAAATAAACTAATTTCCATTAGTTCGTTTGCCAGACATTGTTAAAAGCGCTTATTCAACATGATCTGAACTGTCTAAAGCATTAATCGAATTGAATGTAATATAGCAACGCATAGCTATGACGCACGTGTTCACTTGTTTTCAAATTTGTGATACCGTTATCTACGTTTTATTTTGAATTTTTTGGGCATTTTGCAAAGAATTAATTGGCATCGTTTAAATATTTTTATACAAAGAAATTCACTTTAATGCCAATTATATTACTATTTAAATCAATATATTACACGCAGCGGAATAGAAAGAATAAAAAAATTAATAAAATATGCATAATATTTCGGGTTCTTTATTATTTTTATTTTTAGAAAGACCAAAGTAACAGAAATTCAATATTTTCAGAAATGCTTTTAAATTTGTAAATACAAGTTTTTCACTTTCTCTTTTATAGTGATAAAGGCATAAGGTTCCGGCTCTTTTAATTAAAGCTCATGTCAATGAATTAAGCGGGTGTGTACTCGACATTTCTGCACATAAAAATTCAGATATGTATGTACATACACATATGTATATACTTAGGAAGGAATGCGAAATTATCAGCAGGCAAACAGCAGTAGTATTTAAAGAAAATATTTTTGCGAAGCCTTCTTAGTATCGGCGAGCTTGTTGCAAGTAAACATTGCGTTCTGCTTATTCTTCGATTTGCTTAAAGATGCGAAAGACCGCCAAATATATATTATTTTTATATCTCTATGCGGGCTTTTTATCACAAACTTCAAAAGCCGAAAACAATGGTGAGTAAGGGTTTCGTTAAATTATATCATTAAATAAAGCTCGAATTATTTGCACTCTTTATTTTCCTTTTCTTTATATATAAGTAACAGTGCTGCATAAGAATGAAGAACCTTTCATTCAAATTGGCGATAATTATTATTTGATTAATGCTGCAGTCAAGGTAATACTTTATATAGACTTTATTTTAGACTTTTTCGAGTAAAATGACTTTCTACCATTTCAGATGAATTGGTTTGAGGCTTTTCTCTATTGTCGCTCTTATGACAGTGATTTGGTCACTATTGAAACGGAGGTGGAAATGAACTCATTATCATTCTATTTAACCACAAATGCTCAGTTGAAATCATTTTGGATCAACGCCAACGACTTAGCCACGAAGGGCAAATATATGTCATACAGCAATGGACGTCCTGTAGCCTATACAAAGTGGGGAGCTGGACAGCCGGATAACTCGGGAAATAATGAAAACTGTGTACACCTCTTTGCCAAAGAAAACATTTTCTATATGAATGACAATAAATGCACTGCGGAGATTTTTGCCATTTGCGAGAAACCAAACCTTTTAGGATCTCAAGGAAACGACGTATGCTCGACTTGTGGCTTGAAAAAATTAATTGAAATTTTACAAAACTCTGCAAATGTTTTGAATTGCAGAGCTTAGTAAATTATTGAAAAACAAAAACAATAAATTTATATTGGAAATGTGTCAAACATTATAATATTGGATTATAGAGAGGGAAAAGGAGTCCACATTTGAGTTGTTGTTGTTGCTACTGCTTTTCCAGTTCCGCTTAAGGAAATGCTAGTTAGTCTAAGTCACCGAGGTCAACTAAAGAAAGGCTCCTGCTTAAGTGTGTCAGTTTTAGGGGGTATGCAAAGAGGTGGTTGGTGTCGTGCGAGGACTCGTTACGTGCGGCAGTCAAAGTACATTAAATGGGTCATGGTCGAGTCTGGATAGGTAGGAGTTTAACTTGCTCCATTATTCAAACATAAGTTGCGCCAGTATAACACGGGTCTCTCGAGGCAGCTCAAGCTCGTCATCTGTTGTGTGTGGTGACTCCGAACCCACTATTCACAGGGAGGGCTGAATAGCTTCTGGTGAATGCCGTTTAGTGCCAGTGTGTACGCCGTTCTGCCCAAATATAGTACTACCTTTCTGAAGTACCTCGGTGAAGGTCCAGTCTCTATTAGATATCTGTTCGGATACTTCCTAGCGTTTTATCCCAGTTTCCTGTCGCTGTCCTAAGGGTGGTGCTTTAGCAGGTCTGAAACTTCTTCAAGCGTCTCGCTTGTCCCAGATGCCCTGATCGGTGCAGCGTATTTTACGACGCCCGGTCCATTGCTTTACACGTCGCCAGCAAAGTGTCTTTGTCTTTTCCCCAGGCGTTGCCTGTTAGGGCTTTAAGGATTTTATTGTGGCTTTGGTCTTTTGCGGTATGCGGAGTGAAGGAGTGCAGACCATTGAATGTGACTTCCATTAATTTTGGATTTTTTGTGGTTGGAGTTTTTACGCATTCGACTTTTACATCGAGTTCGAGCCTGCACTCTTTCGTGCAGCTGATGAAAAGGGCAGCCGTGATTAGCTTTCATCTTATACAACACCGTGTTATATCGTCTCATTGACGGCAACATCGATCGCTGAGAAACTACCTCAGAATGTCAGGACATAGATATCCGGAGAGGATATGTCGACCTCGAAATATCCAATATATACATTCCTTCTGTTAGAAGTTGCTCAGTTGGATATAGCCCTGATGTAGGTGTGCTACTCAGAGATTTAGGACGTCTTAAAACGCATCACGAACCTTGACATTCTAGCGTGTCATATGATCGTAGAGTGATGACGCTGTGGGTAATTGTCAAAGCTCGCCAGACATAACAATTGCGAGTGCAGGCCTGATAAACAGCATAGGCTGCCGATCGGACCAATTACCCATACTAATCTCGATTGCCAAGCCTCCTGAGCTTGTTTTCGTGGACCACCAGGCATTCGTTAGCTTCAAAAAGGTTTACGGAATTTACTGAGTAATAAATCGGCAGGGAATACCAACACCATTGAGTGGAACTATGACACAAAAAAGCAAAGTTTCCCTTTGCTAGTAAAAACGGAAATTCGTCAAATCATGGCCCGATTTGTGCCAAAAAATGAACGAACATTATTTCAAACTGATCGAAGTTAGCTAAAATTCTCAAGGCAGTCACTTGAATGATGCCCTATGTTCAAGCTAAAGTTGAAACTTAATAATCGAAATGTCAAAAAAAGGTATATATTTCAAATGCATTTTATAGGCACTTATTTTCCAAATTCGCATAAGTTATAGCTCGAGCAAAAAAATAAGAACTGAAGCCTATTCGAAGAGTGTAAATTAATAATAATAATTTAATTTTTTTTTAATTAATAAAAATTGAGATAGTTTTTGAAATAATCGTTTAAGCGATCACCAATTCCAGAAAGTACACATATGCAGTTTCATTGGAATTTCTTAAAAGAAAGCCAACTAACAGTTTCGCTAAAGTTAACTGCAAAACTATGTTTAATGTCATTTAGTATAATCACAAATACCGAACTCTGTACGTTAAATTATTAATGCTAAAAACAAGCATTTCTCAAAAACATTTTCATCTCTTGCATTATGAGCGGAGACTGATGGCATTTCAGTATTTAAGAGCCACACGGATTAAAAAAATTTATTTAATTATTTATTTCCATAGCAAGGATGCAGATCCTTTCCTCGAGATTGGCAACATTTTTTATTTAATTACTGCGAAACCACGGGTATTAAGAACTTAATTTTTGAACTGCATACACTTTATTGCCGCACATAGGACCGTGATTTGGTCAACATTCAAACTGAGGCAGAAATGAACGCATTCTAATTTTATTTATTTAATATTTAATTCAAAATAAACGTCTAGACAGGCGCTTTTGGGTTGGTATTGCAGATTTGGCAAATGAGGGTAAATTTATGTCTTTCTGCGATGGATTGCCCATATTCTACATTAAGTTCTCTAATGATGGACAGCCCGATGATTGGCAAAGCAATGAAGATTGTGTACAACTGTGGAGTTACGACTGCCATTAGAAGACCAATTTTATTTATGCAAGAAACGCAAGTTTAACAATTAAAATTTCGAAGTAAACTCTACCGATTGTACGACGAGAACATTTGCTGAAATATTAGAGTAAAAAGTAGTTTAGAAAAAATTAGATTTATACTGTCATAGAAAGACAATTAAATATTATACCAATATGGGACTTGAATATTAAACCTTAGCATATTTTTTTAATATATATTTGACCATTGTTTCCAAAAACAAAAAATTTTTATGTTACTGATATGCAAAGAAGCATTTTTCCGCAAATTCGTACGTAAATCCCCATTTTCACTTACCCAAGCAAAATAACAACAAACATAACAAAAACTCAAAGACCTACTAAAAAGTGAGATACTTTTTAAAACAGGAGTAGCTAATGTCATCCCTTTCAGTGTATTGCAAGTTCCTACATTTGTTAAGAAAACTTTAAGACACACACCACAAATTGCGGCAGCAGCTCGGTCGGAAATCATTTTAGCGGCTTTAAAGTGCAAATTTTAAATTTTTGGTTTTCTTCTATTTAGCTCTGCTCTGCCTATTTTTCAATAGAAAAAAATTTCAAAGCTAAAAAAATTACTGAAACTAATATTTAAAACTCTTATGTTACATAATACAATTGTATGTATTCTTTCAATATTACCCTGCAAATATGATTTAAATTAAAAAATGAAATAAATATTGAATCTAAATAAAAAAATGATTCAATTTTTTTTTATTTTAATATAATTATTTTCGAAATTTTTGGTATATTTTGTTTGAAGGAAAAAGTATTTTTTTATTAAATTAGCGCCTTATAACCGCTGAAGCGATTTTCCTTCGAGCTCCTCCCACAATTTGTGGTTTTGCAACTTGATGAGGGCGGAGGGACCTACAGTTTATATTAAGCTGCCTCTGAACGGCTGATAATTATTTTATGAGGAGCTTTGTTTCATGTCAGAAATTCACTCGAAGGAGTTGGCATTTCCTACCGTAAGGAGTATATACAGATATAAAAAAAAATGAGCTCTTTTTAAAAAAAATAAATAAGTTACTCATGAGCTGAAGGTGAAGTTCTATTGAGATGACCAGAACTTGGCTTATCAAGTATAATTTTTCGTATCTACACTATATTACTTATTCAGCGATTTAATTTTTTATTCCTTTAAATTTAATCTTTACTTTTTTCATTTTATTTGAAATTATTAAGTTAATTTCATAATTTTTATTCTGTTTTATTTGATTTTACATTATTTTAGCTTATTTTTTGGAAGTAATTGAGTTTTATTTAATTTATTTTCTAATCATTATGATATCATTTTATTATTGGTTTTATATCATCCCCATCTCCATGTGTTCATATAAATTTATTTACTAATATTTTTCACTCTCTATAAGGGTATGCTTTGTTTCTAGCAATGCTGTTAGGTATATATTAAGCGAAAACACATTAGTAGCAAAACTAAAAATTAACATTTTAAAATAGTTAAAAATATATTAATTACAGGTTAAATAAAAGCTAATGAATATTTTCAAATTTCTCTCACAATGGTAGTTGATAGTAGCGTACGTGTAGCTTTTAAGTCACATGTAGTTTGTTAAGATTTGTGTTTCGACTTTTCGGGATAACAGCAGTAGAAGATTAGATTACAATTAAGTTTGTTTTATGTAATTGTTTTCCCGATGACTTTTTTTATTTTAACTTAATTTAATTTTTTTATTTTAATTTATTGAATTTAATTTAAATAATTATATATTATTTTATTTTATTTTTATTTATTTGATATTATTTAATTTATTGTATTTTGTTTTATTTAATTTTCTTTTTATTATTTACATTATAGTTTATTTTATTTTATTTTATTTCAGCTACGATTATTTAAATTTATTTTGTTTACTTGTATTTTATTTTTGTAAATTTTATTTGATTTAATTTTATTTTATAAAACTTATTTCATTTAATTTTTTTATTTATTTGATATTATTGTGTTTTATTTCATTTTGTTTTATATTCTTCTCTTTTAATTAATTACATTGTTTTTATTTTATTTTAATTAAGATTATTTAATTTTTTTTTGTTTTATTGTATTTCATTTTTTTTTTTAATACTATTTTATATTTTATTTATTTTATATTATTTTATTTCATCTATTTTATTTTATTGTGTTTTGTTTTATTTTATATTATTTTATTTATTTCATTGATTTTATTTTATGTTTTATGTTTAGTTATATTGCATTTGTTCATTTATTTCATTTTAATTTGCTACTATTTATATATTGTACTTTGATTTTTATATTACTTTTAATTACTATTTTTGTTCTATGTTGCCTGTGTTTGTTTTATTTGACTTTAGTCCCTTTTTAAGCTAAAATTTCTAATTGCCATCGCCCCTCGGAAGGGAATGCCAACCCCTCCGGGTGTACTTCTGACATTAAAATCAAAAGCTCCTCATATAACAATCGTCCGTCGTTCGGAGGCGGCTTAGTATGAACTCTATGCCCCTTCGTTTGTTGGAAAAACGTCAAGACGTAAAACCCCCAATTTGAGGAGGGGCTCGATCAAAAATCGCTTCAGCGGTTACAGAGCGCCAATTATATACAAGTTGCTTTTTTATAATTTTTTGTTTTATTATACTCGTTTTTTTCATCAAGAATTGGTCGTTTCACAAATAAATAGTTAAAACTTTTGTTATCATAAAAAATGCTAATTAGCAAATTTATTTTTAGTTTTAAAATCAATGAATAGTGTTAAGCGTTTTAAATAAAAAGCGGGTACACTTGACATCAATAATTACTGTTAGCTTAGGCTGCATTGCGGTTACAAGCAAACGGCAATTCCAACGTTTATTTCAATACAGCAATTAATCACCATGCCACAAAAGGGGATAACGAATTATATTTTGCTCGTATTTATTTGCATTTATTTTTCAAAATCAGCAGGCAATTTAAATAATGGTTAGACACATGTAGTAAAAAAATCTTAATATTTGGTGAAGAAACTTTTTTAATCTATTTAGAATGCAGCACTGATAAGGATCCTTTCATAAAACTTGGCAAAAAATATTATTTAATTAATGCAGCAGTTCAGGTAACTTTTGTTTGAAGATTGGTTATGAACTATTTTCATAGAATGTTTTTTTTTTACTTTAAGCTAAATTGGCATCAAGCCTTTCTCTTTTGCCGCACCTATAGCAGTGATTTGGCCACAATCGAATCGGAGGCGGAAATGAATGCTTTGTCCTTCTATTTAGCCAAAAATGGTCATTCAAGCAAACATTTTTGGATTGGCGCCACTGATATAGCTGAAGAGGGTAAATTTATGTCTTATAAAAGTGGTCGTCCTATGGTCTATACTAAATGGTCCGGTGGACAACCGGATAATGCGGGTAATATAGAAGATTGTGTACATCTATGGCATATCAACAACAACAATATGTTCGAAATGAATGATTGGTCTTGCGCCGATGGTAAGAACATCATTTGTGAGCTGCCAAAATCAGCGAAATGTTGTTGGAAAAAATTTCAAACTACGGATTTAGGAAACTTGCAGAAAGACTTACAATATTGGAAGAGCGAAAGTAACCAAACACTGTAACTTTTATAGGAATTGAAACGGTTTTGCAAAGTGGTATTGAAAAAATTATCTTAAAAAAATCTTATTATATGCTATTATATGATGCTTGATAATAGGATTTTGTAATTCCTGGCAATATCAATGAGAATAAAAATTTTACAAGCTACAGAAATACAAAACAGTGTGTAATATTATATTATTTTTTTTTAATAATTTTTTATTTTATTTTTCCTTGTTTTATTTGCTTTTTCAGATATTTTATTTTATCTTTATAACTTAATTGTGTTTATTTTAATGTTTTTAAATTTATTTAATTTTTTTTTTGTATTTTTATATATAAATAATAATTGGGTATCGCTTGCATGGATAGACAATTTGCATACATACAGACGACTCCTAAGGACAGGTTGCAATACAATTGCACACATAGAAATCAAGACCACTTGGAAGAAGGCATTCACTCCTAAAACTTGAGCTCTGCGGTGCTCACATTCACCTTTGCCTGTGTGCTATGTTAAGGAAATATTCACTTCTGTTCGCGTAACTGCTTTCATTTTGTCTGAATCGCCAAGTAGACCTACATCGAAGGCAACACTATGTACACTGCCAACTTTCGTGGACAACAGGATATCAAATATACAGTAACTGACAATAGAGGTATGTACCTTCCAAGGATAATCGAATTAGGTCGTGGCATAAGCTTCTTGTTCCATTTTCTGCGCCTCATCGCCTTTCCCTTTCCGTTCAATGATAAAAACAGCCATCTCTTTTCGAATGACGATGAGCATTATAGTAACAATCACATTCCCAAATGCATAAGAAAATCCCACTGAGTGGACGTCACAAAGTACAGTGTGATATCTTCTTCGACATTGCTAAACATTGTGTAGGCGCAGCAAATAATTGAAAAGAACTCACACAATTATTATTCAAGAATCAAATGTTAAACGAAATTTATAAATACTTTTCTTCTCATTTTTTAAATTTTCATTATATCACATAGAGCACCGCACTCCGGCGGCTGTTAAATATATTGACAATACTTTGCCGACAATTGAAGAGCTAAACACCGTTGTTGTAGAACTAGAGACTATTTTCAGTCCGCGTATGGTCAACGTCATCCGGTCCTAATGACTTTGGTACACTAACTACGAGTCCGTGTCAAGTGCACTTGACCTCATGGGAATTTTTTTATTGATCATTCACGCTGGAAATTTGATCGCCTCGAATCAACCGTGCTTGGACAAGATGGCTATTTTAGAATGGTGAATCTGTCCTTTGCCAATGAAACTTTTACACCGATTTCCCGAAAGATAGTTTTTACTTACCGTTAGTTGTTGTTATGTCTGCACGCCATGGCTGAACTCTATTCTCTGCTCTCTAGAAGTGAGCAAAAGACGTGCATCTTCTCATAGACACTAAAGTCGAGTATTTAGAAAATATCGCTGCATGGCTTGAGTCTCGGTGCAGGCAAATTTATATTTTTTTTTGGTGACGCATACCGAAATGAACTAGTTTAAGTAGACAACTAGTATAAAGCAGATGCATAGTCTGACAGTTGACAGTTCTTATGGAATCACCGTGGTAAAAATACCAGTTGCTTACATGGAAAATAGAGGAAGATGAACTGGTAGGTGCAAAAATACATGCCAGCTGGATTCTAGTTAACAACTTATCTTTTCGTATACATTTTATTTTTGCTCCTTACATGCATACAGTTCTTTATCATTTTATCTTATTTGCTCACACTTTGTTATTTGCGTACATATGTATATAAAAATGATTAACCTACAAAATAAGTTACTCACTAATGGGCTGCTAACAGCAGCTTATCGGAGTTTAAGTATTCGTTCGGTCGACAGAGACGATATGTACGTACATACGGTTATTTATGTATAGTTCTTTTTAAATTTCTGCATGCAAGTCGACGTCGATCGTATTTAGCCAGCACCCATAATTATAATTTATATAAAGCTAGACACCTCCTTATTATTTTACTTCATTTCAATTTTATTTCTATGTATTTATTGTATTTTTTTTTTTACTTTTTTTATTATACCTATTTTATCAAATTTTTTTTATTTTATTTTATTTAATAATTTTTTTTTATTTTTTGTTTTTTTTTTGTTTCATTTAATTTTACTGAATTGTGTTATTTGCTTTGAAATAAAATGTATGAATACGTGAGGTTGAAGATTAGTGTTCACTTAGTCGGCAACGCAGTCACAAGCAAAGATCAGGTCCAGCGTTGATTTCAAGAAAGCAATCAATAACTATGGCAAAGAGGGGGATAACGAAACATATTTTGCTCTTATTTATTTGCATTTTTTCAAGTTCTTCAACCACATCCGTTAATGGTGAGTCACTAAGTGCAAGTGTAAAGAATCATATATATTTCTTAAAAAAAATTTTTCAATTTATTTAGAATGCAACACCGATAAGGATCCTTTCATAAAACTTGGTAATAAATATTATTTAATTAATGCAGCAGTTCAGGTACCTTTGGTTTGAAGATTGGTTATGAACTATTTTCATAGAAAGTTTTTTTTTATGATATTTTAAGCTAAGCTGGCATCAAGCCTTTCTCTTTTGCCGCACCTATGACAGTGATTTGGCCACAATCGAGTCGGAGGTGGAAATGAATGCTTTGTCGTCCTATTTAATTACAAATGGTCATTCAACCAAACATTTTTGGATTGGTGCGAATGATTACGCTGATGAGGGTAAATTTATGTCTTATAAAAGTGGTCGTCCTATGGTCTATACTAAATGGTCCGGTGGACAACCGGATAATGCGGGTAATATAGAAGATTGTGTACATCTATGGCATATCAACAACAACAATATGTTCGAAATGAATGATTGGTCTTGCGCCGATGGTAAGAACATTATTTGTGAGTTGCCGAAACCACAGAAATGTTGTCGTGTGGAGAGAATTTCAAATTGCGGCTTAAAAAAACTAGCGGAGATATTTGCACAGTCGGCAAATGTTTTGGATTGTATAGAGTAATGGAAGAATGCAGGGAACGAAATAGTGCACTTTCCTAATAATATTTGCAGTTTGATCATATATACATCTTAAAGTAAGATCATCATGCAAAACATAAAAGTAAATAAATGGTTTTAAAAAATGAAAAGAATGTCTTTTTGTCGCGTACTGGCCGCAACAAAAACTTCTTTTATGTGTGTCTGTTAATTTCCTTTGTTTTGCCTAAGCTCCCTTTCACTCCAAGCGTTGGCAGTGATATCTGTCGGCAAATAGTTGCATTATTTGAAGCCATGGATTGATGGCACGGTTGCATTCGGTGTGTGCCTACCCAGTGGTATAAGTCTCCAAAAGGAGGTGTTCCCCAAAACGGTTCCTCCACTAACAAATATTAGGGCAACGGTATGCTTTGCGCGGGAATTCCGTAAAAAGGGGTGTCGCCTTTTTCTTTACTGCAGCGAGGGGAAAAGTTATCCCAGTGTACTTGGTGTGCCATGGTGGCATGCGCTATACAACCCGGTCCCTTTGGGTAATGGGGGCGGCGCCAAATGATTGGGCACCAATACACACTCGCAGGAGAATTTTGAAGGCCGACGCGTAGCTTGCGGCCTGGCTCGTAAGTGCGTGCCGGATCAGATTCTTGCAATCTACAGAAGAGTGCGAACTTCTTTTTACGCAGGCGTGCGATTTACAAAAAAAAAGAAAAAAAAACAAACAAAAAATTTGTGATATTTTTTTTTATAAATATAATAGCGTTTTGCCAGGCGAGGCAAGTGGTAGTGTAAGGGCAGTTGAAGCCTTGTAAAAAGTAGTGAAAGTTTTAAGCCAGTCGGGGCTTGTTTAAGGGCAGACGAAGCCCAGTGCAAAATAGGTTTTCTTTTATATTCCAGTGGCGGAACCAGAGTTTGGCGTCGACATCATCCGGAGGAGCACCGAAGTTGGGTACCCACACCCGACCGAGAAACTGATAAGTATCATTTCGTGTATTTATTGTTTGCGTACGTTTTGTCGTGCCGACAGTGTCACCACCCTCGTTACGTCCTTACCCATCCTTCTAGCATCCCGCACCCGGAGCCCAGTCATACAGGCGGGTTAAAGTTACCCCCGGCAGCACGGGAGTAGTGCGAGTGGGTTCGTAACCAGTTCGGTTGGACCACACCTCGGGTGCACCCCAAAAACATATTTTGTTTTATTGTTTTGAGTAGTTCGAATTTGCTGTTAAATTGTTGTCCCGCAATTTTTGTTTATCGCGTTAGGAAGTTTCGCTTGGGTTTGTTTTTCTTTGCACGTAGTTTGTTGTTGTGCGTAGCTAGCGACCCACGCCGTCTTCACTAAGCTGGCCGGTCGCTTTGTTAGTTTTTGTCATCTCCTTTTTGTGCGGTAGTTTGTTTTGACGTGTGTGGTTGTTGGTAGGCGTTTGACCAACAGCCACTGTAGGTATACATATGTATGTACGTATGTACACACGCACATACATATTGTAATTACAAAAAGTGGAGGTGACATTTTAAGTAGAAATTAAGCAAAAGTAATATAAAACGGATATTTATTATGAAGTGATATAAAAAGAATTTTATACGAAATATATTTGATATATTTAATTTAATTTTATTTAATATTATTAAATTAAGTTAAATTTAATTAATTAATTATATAAATATATATTATTTTATTTTATTTGTTTTAACTTATTTAATTGTTTTTTAATTTTTTTAATACATTTTTTATTTTTTTTTTATTTAAGTTTTTTTTAATATTATTATGATTAGCTTAAGTTATTTTATTTCATTTTAATAACATTTATTTTATTTTATTGTATATTATTTAAAGTTATTTTCTTATATTTTATTTTTTTTTAATTTATTTTATTTCACTATATGTTATTTTCTTATATTTTATTTTTTTATTACTTTGTTCTACTTGACTTTTTATCATTAATTTTTTTAATTTTAAATTTAATAAAATTTTATTTCTATTTTATTTTATTATGTTATTATTATTATTTTAATTTTAATTTTATTTTATTTACGTCGCTTTAATTAAATTTAAAATAAGTTTATTTTATTGCATTTTACTTTATTTCCTTTTATTTTATTTTATGTTGTTTTAGTTTGTTGTTTTTGTTTTTTTTTTTTAATTTTCCAAAAGTTGAGCTTACATTTGGAGGAGTTACCAGTTTTTAGCGTTTAAATATTTTTTGCAGCGAATTTGGAAAAAATTTGATACAAGCGGACCCGACGAACTTAGACTCTGTTTAATTTTATGCCTTTGGGTTAACTCCAGAGTGACAATAAAATATAGTTTAAATCTGAATGTATATTTTTTGAACGGAATCGTAGTAAGAGAAGTGAAGCGAAGGGATGTGATAGTAGCCGACACTTCTTTTTGCTTTTCTTATGGCCGTTTTATCGTCTAATAGAATGTGTTGGGCAAGTAAAAAACTCTCCCTTAAGAAGAACTAAGACGTTTTATGAAAGCAGATTTCAAGCGAATCTAGTCTTATATAAGAGTTTTTACAGTAACTGACTTTCGTGTAAATCAGACGACTCGATTTTTCTTTTATAAATCAGTATGTACCAAATTTCAGGTAAATCGAACCGCAAATACAAAGAGGACTGTCTGTGGCTTACATCCCGGTATGTTGGCCGATGCCATAAGATATCTACGCTATGTTTACGCAGAAACATTGATCCAGCCGTTTCGAAGGAGGTTGATTGCAAGCATTTTGACACGAGAATTTTATATATTGGATTTAGTTAAAAGTTGCTGACATTTCACACTTCTAAAACTGATTTCACTAATTTTGGCTTTGTAAATCAATAAGAAATGTTTGTACAGATTTGGCAGAACAAGGTAATCGAAAAACGAGTGGAACACACGAGCTTTACTGGAATAACCCGATTCAAAAATTTTAAAAAACATTTAACTTTAAATTAAAGTTGTGAGAAATGCTAAGGGAAGAATATTTTAGTAAAAAACATAATTGGATGCACTTTTAGTAAAAATTATACATATAAAAATGCTTTAAATAAATTATATAAAAAGCAAACAAATTATAAAGAATAATATCAAATATTCATATCTACATATGTGCTGGATTGAACACATAAATTTCCATGCAACTTTTGATATTAAAGACCGCAAATAAAAAAGGCAAAACATGTTTCAACTCAACCCAACCGACCAACAAATCACAGCCGATAATCCCAAGTTAAAACCACCAGTCAACTAACCAGCCCACCAGCTGAGGGTTACTCGCCCTCGAGCCAAACATTCTTGCACGTGCACTACGCTCGTAAAGACTTGAAGCCAAGTGAAAAGAACTACAACTAAACCGGAGACCTGTCAATGCCCAGGGCACAATTGAAGCTGGTTAATCGTCAACCACCGATTTATGCTAAGCACTAGAAGGCGTGCATGAGTGCAATCAACCCCCCAGGGAGGGTGGAAACTGACACTTTCTTCCTCATTTAGCGCATCAACAACGTAATGATTCGATTATTTACGCTTGCCATTGAATTTTTGGGTATTTTGGAGAATTTCACACCATAAGGGATTATTTATTCTTTGCTATGCGTTTCATACACATTTGTACAGGGTATATTTAGGGTGTATTAGGAAGAAATAAAGATATGTATATGTGTTTGCGAATAGCGAGTTATTGTATTTAAACCTCTAGACTCTGTGTTGAATGACTTTTCAACTTTTCGGGGGATATTTAAATGCCAAGTCATATTTAAAAGTTTCAACTAAGAAGTCGAGGCAAAATTAATATTCTTGATTTTGTAGTTGCAGAAGGAAAATATTATATAACAAATATGTGTGATGAGAAAAAATGCCAAATATGACGCGCACACAAAAATGATTTGCACTTACCAAGCAAACATTATTACATTTTTTATAGTTTGTTTTTTATTTTGTGGATAATTAACATATCACCGAAAGGCAGAAAATTTTTAGGTTTATGTTAGCAAATCAGCTAATAAAAATTTTGTATGGGTGTTCAGGAGTTCGTCAGCATCGGGCTCCAAATATCTCGAATACGATTTTCAATTAATTATTTACAGAGTTTATATTACTCGTTCCCGACATATTAACTTGCCAGACACACTTCCTGGAAAATAAAGGGTGCATAATGTTAATTTAGGCCAAAGCTACTACTGTAGCAAATTCAATTTAAATCGACCGATTTAAATACATATTAAATTTTTTCGAATAGATCGGTGACGGTTGTATTTCCTGGAAAACAATTTCTTATCGGAGACCTATTTCGCTGTTTGACACCAATTTAGAATGTCAAGAACAGTCTTGCTTCTCACCTGAAAGATCTATTCTCTGAGTCTTTCGTAGAATATTCAAGCGAATTCTGTCTAAGCGAGTTAGCTTGATTTTTTACATATTTATATATCGAGCTGCTAGCATTAAAGTGACTCCACTGAAGCTACCTCCCCTTGAGCCATGACCCAAGCCTGCGCAAGTGTTGGTAACCGCGTTTTGTGCAGGGTTTTGCTCACGTTTCCAGGGTGCGCGCTGTGAATTGAGTATAGTCCAATGACTGCTTTATAAAGAACATCTGGTACACTACAATAAGATACTGCCATAAAAGTTGCGGCAGCAGTTTTGGCATCGGATATTGCGTCTGCTATATGTTCTGTTAACATTCTTCTTGCACCCTCTTGTAATAGAAGACCTATTGCTGCGCGATTTAGGCGGGAGTTCTGCATTCTCTCGTCGCTTTATAACACTTCTCTAAATGCCAGTTATTACTAAGAATCTGTACTACTTTATTTCAGAGATGTTTTGGTACTCCTCTTTCTATTGCTGACATTGTCGATGAAAAAAGTTCTTTACAGGCACATTGAAACTGAGTGGAACTCGAAGTCCCCATTGCAGCAGCGGTAGGCCTGACAATCGCAAATAAGTTGAGGAATCGGGCCAAAGGGTGGAACAGAGTGGGCTACTACAAGTTTGGTAATATCGGCGTTATTAATGATACGAATATTGAGTATTTTCACTAAAGCCTAATCAGCAATCAACCAATATCTCCCTTCTTTTTATAATAAATTTTGATATGCAAACGTATGCTTCTTTGATTTAGTTTAATTGAATAGATAAATCTTTATAATACTGAAACTGGAATTTCTCCTTCGTCGTGTGAAGACCCCAAGTCCAAGGCCTTGGAGCCTCCACAACAACAACAACAGGATATGTATACACGAAATATATATACATTTACGCATACATATATATATATATATATATATATATATATATAAATATATATATACACATATACATATATACATTTACATATATACATACCTATACATATTTACACATTTATATACACATGAAGTACATACAAATATATATATATACATTTACATAATTAATTATTTTCTAGAAGCAGAAATTATATATACACATTTGTACATATACGAAATTTAAGCTAGGCACTAGCGTAACGAGCCGTCGCTGTTAAGTAGGGCAAAAGAGAACAGGCGATAGGCCTACCAACAAAAGGCAGTGCATAACTGTCCACCTGTAGGAAAATTTAGTATAAAAGGAGCAGCATCAGCAGTGATACGACACTTCTGTTTGTGCTGTCGTAGTTAGAATATATGGTGTGACGTGCAAACGCTGCCAATAGGAGTAGATAGAAGTATATGGTGTGACGTGAAAACGCTGCCAATAGAGATATACGGCTGACGTGAAAACGCTGCCAGTACGATACGGTTAAGATATATGGTGTGTCGTGAAAACGCTGCCAGTAGAACATTTGAAAATAAAGCTAATTGTGTAAGGTAGAACCATCCGTGTTGTCCTTTTTCTATCGAGATTATAGGAGAGACCCATAATCCGGCTGAGAGATAGCCCAGCTATAAACCGGAGAACCGGGTACGTTACAGTCGGCTCAAGCATAAATAACATCACGGTATTTTCTAGGTGAAAGCCGTTTGTATTTGTATTTTAGTTTCTCAACTAATGTAGTGAAAAATTATTTTCCTCTCCAGGGATTGACTGCCGGATTGTGTAAAAACATTGCCCGCATTCAGGCACAATCACTATCTGCTTAGCTTAGGTACTTACCTAAAAACATTCATGGCATGTTCAATTTAGGAAATAAATAAATTTTATTTTAAGTTTTTTTTTTAAGTTATTTATTAAAAAAAAACACAAAACATTATTAATAAATTTTTAATATTTAAATATATATACCTCTTTCCATCATCTTCTGTACTCAGAGCAACGGTATATCATCACTTTCAGATTCACCCAACAATGATTGCTCTCCCGAAGATCCACGTTTCTCAGGCTTACTCCTTTTCAAGCTGGGCAATGTAAGTTTCAAACGATTGCCAGCAGTGCTTGTACCAGCCACAACATCGTTACCTGTATTAGTTGCATCTTCGGTTGCAAAATTTGCTATTATCGAATTAGTATCTTCTGCGCCACTTTCGTTGTGATTTTTTTGTGTAAATTTTCGCAACCATATTAATTTTAGAGTTTCCTTTTGTCTATATACGACGGCCATGATAATTCCAGTGAGTAGTATGCCGAACATTATCAAGAGCGCTAGAGATCCGCGTGGATTCGACTCGGGCTTTGGTTGCCAATCCCAGGTTTTCTTAACGATGTTGGTTGGTCCTTGTGTTTCTGAAAGAATTTGAAAAGAACACTTATTTCAGTACCTAATTTTAGGTTGGTGTGTATTTTTATGTTTCGGTTTGTAAGGGAGCGTGAGATTTTGAGAGGTGATGGCATGAAGGTCATTGTGGGGACTTGAAGAAGATACAAATTTAACTTCAACTCACTTTTTCTTTCCGGTACTAATGCGGTATCGCCTGTGAACGTCTTGCGGTTGACTGTCGTGGCGCCGGTGGTTGAGGTCGGAATGACATAAGTGCGAGGTATACTTGTGGTTTGGATGGGTAGAAGCTTGGTAGCTGTTGTAGTTGTTGTGGTTATTGTTGTTGTTGGTATTAAACGTTTTACAGTCGTAGTTGCTATTTTGGTAGTTGCTCTCGTTGTTGTAGTAGGCGGTTTGGTTAGTTTAGTAGAGAGACGTGCGGATTTAGGAGTTGTGGTTGTTGTTGTTGCTGTTGTAATTGGCTTCCGTATGACGGTTGTAGAAGTACTTTTCGTTGTTGTTGGCCTTCGTGTAGTAGTAGTGGTAGTTGTAGTTGTTGCCGTTGTGCTTGTAGGCTTTCGAGTGGTTGTTGTTGTCGTCGTTGAGGTTGTGGGCTTTGGAGTAGTGGTTGTAGTTGTTGTCGTGGTAGTAGTTGTTGTAGTTGTCTGTGTAGTGTTAAGAATTTTTTTCGACATTGTTGTTTTTAATTGTTTCTCTTGGAGGTTGATCACCGTCGGCACGGCTTCCGGTTGTATTGTTGTAGAATCGGGTGCGTCTAGACGTTATTATGATTTTTGAGGTTATTTATTATTATTATTTTTTTTTTTTTAATAATATGAGATTTACCTAAACACACTTTGATATAATCAGGGCAACAATTATCGTCAGCTATACAACTATCGTGACAACTGCAGAGACCAATCAAATGTGTAAAATTGTGCATTATACCCGCGTTGTCCTCCTTACCGCAACGTGACAAGCATGAAGAAGTATCGTAGAGAGCTTGCTCTGTGGAAGGAACAAATTGTAAAACAAATAGCTTAGCCAAATTTTCACTTTGCTACATTTTCTATTTATTTTCAAGTAATATTTAAAAATTTTTTTGTTATGACATTATCTATGTATAGAATCTTTTTTTGCTTTGATATTGTTTCTGTTTACAAATTTTTTACAATATGACATTATTTATGCTTAGAAATTGTGTATGTAATGCTGCTGAAAGTAAGAAAAGCTGCGTAAATTTTTTATGTTAAACCATAAATTATGTTTACTAGTTTTTCGGTTAAACTATAATTTATATTCGGATATTATTTCATGCTCAGCATAGATCTCTTGTCATATTTTTTATTATGTAATTGTATATGAAACAATAATTTATGCTAAGAAATGGTTTCGTGTTGCATGAAATATGGGGTAACGAAATCTTACATTCAAATTCAGTTTGCTTTTTGCATTGCTTAAGAACTGCAATGGAATTTTCGATGCAGAAGTTCAAATTAAGAAATTTTGTTTTAATAACTTAAGTTTTTTTTGTTTCTTTGTATGAGGATTACATTTTACGGTATTCCATTACTATGTTGTGCAATAATTCATGTTCGAAAATTTGATATAAAAACCAACTTTATGATACCATCAATGTATGGCAAGAACTTTTTTTGGTTAGAAATTTTTTAAGGCAAGCAATAAAATATGTCTATAATTTTTGAAACATATAACATATGTTTCAATTTGGGAAAAACGTTTTATTTTCCCATATGTATATCGTATTCTTGACGATTTTTCATGTCAAAAAATCTTTTGCTATGCGAATTATATAAGATTTCATATTGTGTAAAATTTTATATCTCGAGTTGTGTTTTATTACTGTAATCTTTATTTAATGTTAAGCCATAGTTTATGTCATGACATATTTTATTCTAAGCCTAAATTTATGCTTCACAATAGGTAGTGCGAATTGTTAATTATTTTTATGTTTAACAATATTTTATGCTGTTAAGATATATTTTGTGTTTAGCAACATGTTTTTACCTATTCAAGTAAGGTTGAAGTAAGGTCATGTTTGATGTTCATTAATACACTTTTTATTTGTATTTATTTGTATTTATTGTGTGCTAAAAGCACTTGCAGTGATAGCAAAGTGATATTTTTGTTAAGCGGAATTTAGTATGTCTGAACATAAAATATTTTTAAGGTAAATAAATATTTTTTTTCTGAATCTGAGTTTCTTTGACTGCACTTTTTCCTCCCACACATTATTTTTCGATAAGTCCTACCATATATAATGTCAAGATATACTTTATGTTAAGAAATATATCATAAAACGCTGTAATTTTTATGTTTTCCCCCACCTACAATATAATGATATTTTAAAATATGTCATACGATACATGAGTTCATGTCATAATTTATGTTTAGAAATATATCACAAAAATCTATAATTTTTATTTTTTTAAATTTTTTTTTTGAATTTTCACTTTCAGCCATACGTGTATGTATATTGTTAAATTTCTTTAGTGAAAATACCATTAATCTCACCTGTAGTTGTAGGCTCATATTCCGCTGAGTCATCCGCGTCGTCATCGTGATTGTCCAAGGCCTTACACTCACTACCAGTCATTATTTTGACGTCATCTATAGCTATGTCGCTCAAATGATTCTTAGCGCCATCGGCTACAAATACAATCTGAAAATCATCTTCCATTTCTTCAATACTAAAATGTGCCTCATTCCAAATGTTATTCTGATTGCCCGATTTTGTAAATTTTACATAACTGCAAAGTAGAGAGATGCTTTTAAATAAATATGAAAATAAAGAAATGATCATAATCTAAAACTTTCACATCCTGTTTTTTTCTCTTTTTGCAGCATAACATTTCCTCAATACTCAACAAGCGCCCTTATCTCGTACTCACTTCTCTTTATCCTCAATAACTTCCGATAACATTTTCATCACGGGCTTCACATAGACATTCAAATTGCCCACACCAGCGCCATACATGAAATAGTAAAATTGAAAACAACAAGCCGTCTTCAAGCTCAAGTCTCGCGCATAAATCGGCGATGTGAGTGCGGCTGGCGTTAGCGTGGCGCCAAAACTTTCCATCAGCATATAATGGCCACCGGTAGCTTGCATAGTTGTATGATCGTGTTGCGGTCCCGTGTGGAATGAGGTATATACATTAGCCGCCATTGTACGTTTCCATTTGAAACCCTCCGATGTGTCTGTTACCCAGCCGCAGTTATCGTCAGTCTCGAAATCGCATTCATGACTTGTTCTCTCGTCGCGTTCTGTGAAGTAGTTGAACGAAATGGTAATGAGAAGTGCATATACAATCTAACTAAACTAACTCTAACTAACTAAAGAGATCTTTCGAAAAATTTAGTGAACAAAAAGCAATTCTGATTCTTTCCTTGCAATATTACTGATATAGACGAGCCTCGGCGAATATGACTGCTCAGACCCTGAGACCGAAGATAACAAGATCATAATAGCTGAATGCAGTCAAAGTGTTTTGTTTATACTTCTGCAGAGCTTATGCTTTAGCAAGGCATTAAAGGAAATTCTCAAATATTTCCAGATGCAATATACACTAGCTCCGGACGAGGATATGTGGCATTGACGCCGCCGCATTTAAAGTGGTATAAAGATCGAAAGCTAATAATCATATTTTCTAGCAGTTTAAGTGAAAGGCTTCACGTGTCTACCATACCATCCCTTTACCAAATGAAAGTTCATAATTTCGAAGCCAAAATCTTCAAACTGAAGTTTTCACAAAAAGATGTTTTTTAGACACCGATGTTTAATTTCCTTCTCTCCTCTTTCGTACCAAACGTTCGGGAGCAGTGAGCTCGTTTGGCAGACCGTGCGATGTAAATGTCGCTAGATCCTACCTATTTACTTCTACGAAATAGCTCTGTCGAGGTAGGAAATTTTTCACCGATTGCAGCTTTTGAGCTGGCTATTGTGCTAACTGCTCAAGTATTCATGAAATTTTATGAGAATGTCACGATAGTGACAATTTTTGAAAAAAATCAGGTTAGTTTTGGTATAAAGATCTGATTGTCGAAGGGGCATGTCTTACAGCAGGTAAATTCATGTGTATCTTACCCGTAGAGGTCCCTAAACGATTTTTTCCTAAGCGATAGACAACAGCAACAACATGTGTTGCTCAATGTATCCGGTAAAATACATACCTCGACAATAACCCAACGGTCGGTCCCAGTTCGTGCCATTACAGTAAGCGTAACGATTACCGGCTCGCTCATAGCCCTCCGCACAGTAGACGCTAATATGAAACTGATCAATATATTGTATTCTGCCATTATCGGGATTTTTCGTAGGCGCGAGGCAGCCGCTCTCTGTAAGAGAAGAATGAAATGGAGATATTAATGATGGCATAATAATAAATAATAGAAAACTTATGAGAAAATGTAAGCAAGCAGTAGATTTTTTCAACTTTGTAAATGCCTCGTGAAAGTTCTAGAACTTTCATTGCATTACGTGTTAAGAACTGTGTATACTACGTCAAACTATGATAAAAAACGAACGTAGCTTTCCGCTCTCACACTACAACACAACACTCACTTGCACACACCGGCCGTTCGCCAACCCATTTGCCCCGACTGCATTGATTCCGACGATCACCGATGAGCTTAAAACCGTAATTGCAGAAGTGTTGCAACAACATATTACGGCGTTTGGTTACGGAGAAGCCATTTATTAACGTTCCAGGATCCTCACATGGTATGCGCGTACGATCGGAGTAGCGAGCATTCACATATATACCGTTCACATTTAGTGTCCAGTGGCAGAAAAGAAAAAATGTGAAGAGTATTTGGTGGAGCGTAATTTTCTTGTCGAATAGTGAATTTAGCATTTTAGTCTTTCTTGTTTTTTTTTTTTAATAATAAAATTTATATGCGAATAGAGGAAAAATTTCAAAATTTGTTCTTCTCACTCAACATCCACAATGGGTACTAACTGATAGGCGCGGCAGTTTTCGAAAAACTGATTCTGGTTATTTCAACGCTTGAAATACAACAAAAATAAATAATATACGTATAAGCTATACTGTGCATATCCACACATACATATATGGCCTGAGACCGATAACCGCAGATGAGAGCGTTACGGGGCCTTTTCCAGTCGCATAAAATTTAAACGCTTCTTGTACGCTAGAACTTATGAATAAACAATATAAGAAACTATTGATAAAAGGAATTGAGAAAAACAATGGCTTTATCGTTGCTTTCACACACAAGCACATATATTAATACAGCGCATGTGTTAAGGTTGTCCAAAATAAGAAAAATGAAACGAAAGATTTTAAGAAAGTAAGTAGAAAATAAGATAAAATCTAAAGTCAATAAATACAAAGTAAAACAAAATTAAATAAAGTAATAATAATTACATATATATTAAAAATAATGATATGAAGTTAAAAAAAATAAATTCAAATTAAATAAATTAAAGTAATAAAACAAGAAATTTAAGAAGAAAATAAAAAATTAAAAAGTGTAAAAAATAGACAAAAATTAAAACATTCTAAAAAAAATAAAATTATAGAAATGTATAATTAAATGAAATAACACAAAATCAAATAAAATAAAACGAACTTATATGAAACATAAGAAAAACATAACATTGTTAAAAAAACAATATTTAGTAATAGAAAAATAAATTGAACAATAATAGTTAAAATAAATTAAAAACAATTCCATGAAGTCAAAATAAAAAAACTCCAAATCACAAAAACTAAAGTAATAAAAAAATGAAAAACAATTAAAACAATATTAAACAAAATATTGTATAGAAATTTATAATTACGTGAAACAACATAAAATATAATATAAAAAAATTTATTAAAAAAGAAAACTTAAATAAAAAAAAAAAATTATAAACAAAATAATTAAAATAAAATACAAAAGTTAAATTAATACAAAATAACATAAAGTAAAAATAGAAGCAAAATAAATAAAATGCAAGAAAAAAATTAAATCCAGTAGATTAAAATAAATTAAAGTAAAATTAAAAAAACGAAATAACATTAAATAAAATACAATAAAACAAAATATATTAAAATAAAATAGATTAAAAATAAGGGAAAATAAAATAAAACACAATAATGAAATAAAATAGGTTGAAAATAAGGGAAATTAAAATGAAATAAAATAAAATAAAATGAAATGAAAAAAATAATAATATAATTGGCGCTTTTTAACAGCTTAAGCAATTTTCGGCCGATCACCTCCTCCAATTTGTGGTTTAGCATCTTGATGTTTTTCCAACAAAAGGAGGGTACTAAAGTTTACACCAAGCCGCCTCCGAACGGCTGATGGTTTTTTATGAGGAGCTTTATTTCATGTCAGAAATAAAGTTGGAGGGACTGACATTCCCTGCCAAGAGGCGACCGCAATTAGAAAATGTAACTTAATTTTTTTTTTATTTAAATTAATTTCTATAATTTTTTTTTTTTTGATATTAGTAAGAGGATTTGAACCCGAGCCTTCCGAGTGGTGGTATGCAATGCTAACGACTCATTGTAAAGTTAAAGAAACAAAAATGAGTTGAAATAAAAAAACTTTAAGAGATAATAAAATGCATATAAATACTAAATAAAATCAAATATAATATATTAAAACAATTAAAAAATAAATAAAAAAAATAAATAAAAAAATTAATTGATTGAAATAAAAATAAAACAAATTATAAAAAGTGAACTTAATAAAATCGAACTAAATTTAATGAAAAAAATAATAAAATGCAATAAATTTATTTAGATCAAGAATAAAAAGCAATTAATATACTAAAAAAAATAAGGTAAATCAAAATTAAACAAAATAAAGCAAAGCAATATGAAATAAACTCTACCGTGGTTGCTTTATTATAAACAAATATACGTGTATATCCACAAAAAATGCATAACATTAATTTTTTTCGAGTTTCTCACGGCGAAAGTGCTAACTTAGATTTTTGCAGCCTTTTGCATAATTCAAAACCTTTCCAATCACAGGCGTAAGTCAGTCAGTATAAAATTTCATACGTATCAGCTTACAAACATACCACTCCACTGATTTCCTTGCACTGCATACTTCTAATCACCGAAATTCCCGAAGGCGCAATCACGACTTTATCAACTGACTGAACTGGCGTTTTTGTTGGATTTTCAGCACTTTCACTTATCACCAAACAAATATTTACGCCGCGCTGCACGGCGTTCAGTTGTGGTGACATAACTTCAAGAGAAACAAAAATTATAGCAATACGAAGGGTGTGCAAAGATTGCAAAAACTGTCAACAGCTGAGTCTTAGATGGTCGACAGCACGTGCAGGTCTATTTAAATATGTTTGTGCTTCCAAGTATGTTAGTGTGTGTGTGCGCGTTTTTTTTTTTAATTTTTATCACCCCCCAAAATGGCGTCAGTCAGTGCACACACACACAATCATACGCGAATTTGGATGGGATAATTCATGCGTCATTTCAGAACAGTAGCTAAGACGACAGTTTCCAAATTTAATGAAGCAACAACAACAACAAGCGCCATTTATAAATAAGAAATGCAAATATAATTCCAACAGAATACATTTTTTCAAGTGAACTGTGAATGGGAAATTGCAAGCAGATAGCAGTAAATACATACATACGTACAGTGCTGCAAATGTGTTCCAGGAAGAGATAAAAATCGGAGACGTTCTATCATAAAGATCCGTTCGTCGCGACTTATCGCGAATATCGTCGAAACTAAGAAAATAACGCGCTAAGGGAAGCAACAACAACAAGATCACCGAAATTAAAGGTAGTATTGTACGTTCTCACCAGCAACCAAGGATCTGATTTGAACTTTTTTTTAGATCTCTTCAGACTTTAAATTTGTCATTGTGATAAAGAACTAGCATCGGTAGGTAAACATAATTGCTTCACTGTGCTCTCATATACAACTGCTTGTAACAATTCACGCCCGATTGCAGTTGGCTTGCTTCAATGTCAATTAAATTCCAAACATCGAATTACATTAACTCCACTGCGAACCGGCTGAGCTCTGTTGATGTATGTATGTAACAACTTGCTATGTCTCCCACCGATACACTGAGGCTACACCGCTGATTGGCATCGATGATGAGTGTTGGTCGTTGCGCGCTCCTGCCGCTGTTCTCGTGTATTCGTCGTAGGTCACGTGCCGCCATTAGCATTAACGTCGATGATGGTGAATTATGGATGACGCGTGGCTAGCAGAGCGGCAAATGTAAGTGTAGTCATAGTCACACAGACTTAGTCACAACAACCTTCTCCACACCGTTCGGGTTAGAGTCATAGCTACCAGTCAAAGCATCTCCCAAGCGAATGGTTCATATCTGGGAAGACATACTGTCATACTCGTTTTGAGTCTCCGCACATTCTAAATACTCGCATTCAACCACCCTCTCCTCTTTCGCTTACTTTGTGCACTGCCCTTTCGGCATCATGCCAATGGACGTAACGATGAACGAATCCTCAGCAAACGGATGTAGCAATAAGAAGTTGTCAATAGTGAGTGATTATCTGTGCGATTGCGAACTCGTCTCTCCGCAGTGATTCGCTATTAACTACCTTAGCTCGGCTGAGTGTGTGCGACCGCGCCACTCTTGTGAAGGCGCATCAACATCATGGCGTCTCGGTTACTTCTCCAACTCTAAGTGCAGGCTTTTCTATAGCATATTGTGTTGTTGGTCGTAGAAGAAATGAGGAAATCGTTTAGTTGTCAGCACTGTTTTGGCCTCCCACTCTCTCTCCCTCTACCATATGTTATTACTATTGTCAGCGTAACTGTGCCGTTAGTTACGTAGTTTGTAATGAATGAAGTTTCTAAAAATCGGAAGCCACTTCATATTGAACTCCCTTTGAACGGAAATATGCGCAAGCGGCACAATTTCCTTAGTTATTGTGTCATATTTTTCCAAATTGAAGGACTCACTTTATTTCGCATTTGGTTGAAAAAAGTAAAATATTAAGTAAAATCTATGATTTTTTAATGTTTTTTGAATGTATCCTGAGAAGAACTCTGCCGATATTTTTTTCACCATTTTCTCATCGCAATTTCAGAGGTTATTCATTGAGGTACCATTGGCCTGCGTAGAGGTTCTGTGGTATTATTGTGTACACATAAATCCTTTTTTCCTCCAGTCAGCCCCTTATCGCTATCAGTATATTACAAAAACTCTTAGTTGCAGTGACTTTTTTGTTTGACGAGAGGGATTATTTCGTCTCATTTTCTACAAGATATCAGTACTGGAAACTCCGAGCCTGAGAGTTTGAAGGTCTTGTAGAAAGTTGGAACCTCTCCGTTAAGCTCTTAAGCTGTGGAAGAAGTCATATCACAGAGAGAAACGTTGAGTGTTGTTGAGAGAACTTTTAAATCTACTCTGCATCTATATGAATTTTGTTTCGATGGCAGGATAGTACACACTTAAAATAGTTCACTGGCTCCAAGAGACCATCTATACAGCTTAGTATGTTAATTAGATAAAATGGTGATAATTTACAATGTGCCTTAGCTATTGAGAGCTCTTGTCCATTTAGAATTCCGAGAGGCAGAAGAAATTCCTTCTGCAGAGTTGTCCGCATTGGGAGCATCAAGCAGGCAAAGTTCGTGGCCGCAGATTATCTTCCGATTGGAAACTTCTTAAAATGTTTGTTGAGAATTAGCAAATCTGTGCACAGGGAAGTGAAAAGATTGTCGTTAATGACCTGCCGTGAAAAGGGAGAAGGATGTTACGACTACATATAAAATCCAATCTAAAGTGAAAAACTGAACAAAGAGCAAAGAAAAGTCGTTGAAAATTTGCTGTAGTGGATTTTTCAACATTGAGGGTTCTTCAATAACATACTTCCGAATGAAATCATAGCTTTGTTCTGCTTAAATAGAATTGTTAAGCCTCATAACTAAGACGTCTGAATATCGAAGCTGAATGTGGAAATTTACGCTTTTAGCACACGCTACTTTACAATAAAGCGGGGTCCTGTTCCCGTTTCTTAGCATCTTGGTCGATTTGTTTCGGTCGTCAATTTCACTTAAACATAGCTTGTTGTTTTCAACAGGAGGTACATCACGAAAGTGGTTCATAAAGGTGACAAAAAATAAAATATCTATTGGATTAGGGTTGTAAAGCAACACCCTGTAAGAGATGGAGAGGATCGATTTCTTCTAAATAATGAGACCTAGAACAGAAATGCAAAAAGTTTTATGATTCACAAACTATAGTCTTTGGAAGTGCGTACTGAGGTGTTTTTTAACTAATTTTTGTGAAAACGGCACACTTTTTTTTTAAAAGATTGATTTTTGTCTACAAAATAAAATAAAAAAAAACCGGCTACGTACTTCCAAAAAAAATGTTTTTATTAAGCTGCCATCAATCTTTCAGCGTTTAAAGTTTTCATTGTACTCAACGCACGCTCAAAGGAGCCTCTCTGCAATATAAAAAGTTTAGCTATTTGAAATTTTTTGCACTTTCTAAATGAGCACTCAGGCAGTGATTTTCTCCGCCTTTATGGATAGAGAGCCATTTTCTGCATTTGTGATCTGTAGAGCATATAATTTTTGGTACAGGCCAGAACGAGAACAGCTTTTTAGTCAACGGTGGGTGGAGTCTTACAATAAATATGCAAAGGGTTTACCAATCCTCTGGATATTATCTTCATTTGGTGTGGATAACATGGATAAAGGATCCTGAAGGGAAAAGTTTGGTCGGTAACGGCTTAGAGATGGGCATTTTTCAAGGATATGGCTAACTGTTAATTGGGATCAATTGCAAAAATGGTTTGCAAAAATGCTACGTTGGCTGTGACTTCTGCTTCACAAAGTGAAGACGTGTAAGACCGATGTGCCCAAAGCGTAGCCTTATAAAACATTTGTTCATTGCAGTGGTGGTTGTGGTTGGTAGTACTAATGCGACTTTGTTCGGGTTATCAGCTAATTGGCCGCCCCGACTACGCTTGCCCGACCGTTAGAACCTTATATTTTAAGGGGTATCAAAGGAAGAAGCCGCAAGATTTTAAATCGCAAGATATCGGTGGTTAATTGCGATAACTTCTTCGAGATTTAACATGGTCCGAAAACTTTTTTCTTTATAAATCGATGGTTTTGTTGTTTATGTGGCACGTAGTACCGTCTAGTTGAAAGTTAATGTTGCAAATCCATCCAATAGCAGCCATAAAATATTATTCATATCAAGATAGCGCAATCTTTTCATCGTAACTGTTGCTCCAACATCATTTTTGAAAAAGTAAGGTCCAATGACCCCGACGGACCATAAACAACACCAAATAGTTACGCGTTGAGAATGGAGAGGCTTTGCAACAGTAAATCTTGGGTTTTCCGAACCTCCGATGCGATAGTTTTTTATTAACATAGCCATTGATGTGGAGTGGTTCTAATCAGTCAAGATGACTTTTCGATTAAATTCCGAATTCAATTCCAAAGAACGACGAACAATGAACAATTGTAGGTTTTCTTCAACTCCTTGGGCTGCAGCAGCAATATTCTCAGTTATTCTTGGGCGACGTGCACGTGTCCGACAGGCTGGTTCATGGCGACCGAAAAATATTTTAGGCTTACGAATCGTCTCTGCCAGATTCTTATTCTGAATGTTTTTAATTCGTTTTTCTATCAATTTATACATATATTTGTATCGTTACAGAAATCATTGTGAGTTGAAAAAAAAACAAAAAACAAATTCAGCTGCTAAAACGGGAGCAAGTTGTGAAGTTGTACCGCCAAAATGTGGCGGGAAAAAAAATAATGGAAAGATTTCTATAATAATTTTTTGCCATTTTGAGGAAAATGTCATTATGCTAGCTCTTTTTCCTCTCTGCAAAAAAATGAGGAAAATCGATTTTCACAAATTTCCATTCGCCATTTACAGGAACAGATGATGATAATTTGGTGCGATGTGCGAGGTGCGGACTAAGAGATCAATCAAGAACTTCTCAATCAAGCGTTCGAAGCTTTATTTAAGTACAAGTTCGAATTAAGAATTTGGCCAAACCTATAAAAAACGCAACAAAACTTCCCTGGCCATCAATACTGGCTTGAAGTCTGTTTGTGTCGGCTCACTACCCATCGACCATAACCGCTTTCATTTGACGCTGCTGTTAGTGATCCACTTTTCATCACCAGTCACAATCCGCTTCTGAAATGGGTCGATTTGTTGTCATGCAGTAGCGATTCACAGACAGAAATTCGGTCCAAGAAGTTTTTCGGTTTTTTTTCGTTAACTCATGTGGCAGCCATTTGTCGAGCTTATTTCGATATCCAGCCATTTTCAAGTGGTTCCACACTGTTTTTTATGCAATACTTAGCACCTGTGCAATTAAAATTGTGTTTATCGATATTTACGGCAAATAGCCTTCTACATCGTTAAGAAAATTATGCATAATTGAATGTTACAGTATCAGGATCATACGCATTTTTCACATTTTTGACTGTCTGATTTGTGTTTTCGTTTTCGTCAAAAGAAAATTGTAGAATATAGCGTATTTTCACTTTCTTGGTGTTCATCTGTGACATGCGCGCAAGCACCACTGAGTTCAGTAACTAAAATATCGATCGTCGAATCGAAAAACGCGCATTCAAATCGATCAAAACATGCCGCCAGTGTTCTAGATATGCGTACGTTCCGAGAATGTTACATCGACTCGGCTCACTACTTTGTCGTAACCAAGATACGCACTCGCCTCTGCGTATTAAGAGATGCCCATCAATAAATAGAAGGATGGTAGAACGTCGAAAAGCTCAACACACTGTTTAACGATTTTCTACTCGACTTACACTCTTGATCTTTGAGAGCACTCATCAGCTACTCGGTATAAGTTAACTGTGGAACAGCATCTCAAACTCCCTATGTACCGCCGCTACGGAAACTACTGGTTTTTTTTGCAGTAGCAGGGAAAAAGGTGGTACGATGAGGAATGTTGAGCCGCTGTAGATATTGCCTACCTCACAATCAACCACAACGCGAACGTGGAAACAAGACGACCTTGCAGACAAAAAACAAAGGCCGACCGACAGAACGACGGTGAATAACAGAAGGTTTAAACACCGGCCCACACTCATGAAGGAACTAACGAAGAAATCTGGCAGCGTATATTCCGAGCAAACTTGGTGTATGGAGGGAACCCTTCTTCAGTCTGCTGAATGACAGTGAAAATGCTACACCCAAAGCGGATATACCTGATGGTTTAACGACTGAGCTATTTAAATACGGTACTGAAGATCCGACATTGTGCATGTGTCAACTTCTTTGCAGAATATGGTCAGATGAAAGCATGCCCTACGATTGCAAACTTAGTGTGATTCGTAAAAAAATAATCGATACACATTACTTTTCCAACGGATTTAAAATCATTAAAACGGATTGAAAAATTAAACCTTATGGGACAACAATAATCAAAAGGCATAAATATGTTACCAAACAGTGTAAGTTTTTTCTTTTTCAGCTAATAAGGACAACCCTTTCATGCCTAACATTACATCAGCGGTACGAGCGATTGAGGGTTAAACTGAACTGCGATAAAAAATATTTATTTCATAGAAAATACTTTAAATGAGTTGGAATGCGATTAGTTGTTGTAATTAGAAAATCATAATCATAAATCGTAGAGAACATTTTATTGAAAAACTTACTTAAGGGTATGCACAATTCAATGTAAGTTTTAGTATTCACCCATCGCTCATCAGTTAATAAACAGTATTTGCTTAACCAACGAGAAGTTAAAAATAATTTTCAATTATAATAATGGATTTGGGACAAAAACTTTTCGCTCTATTTTTTGTAAATATTCTTTTCAATCTCACATCTTGTGCTGCAGATACTAAAGGTTGATCAAACAAAAAAGGAATTTAATTTAATTATATGCATAAATTATATATATTGGGTGTAGTAAAATGGAATTCATTATTTTTCCAATAAATGGCATTATTTATATGTATCTCTCGTTGTATAAGTCCGATCGGGTTCCGCTGGATACGAAAAGTAAAAATTAAAGCCAACAATTTCATACAAAACAAAAAAAAAATGGATTTATCTTTATTACACCAATATAAACATATACATATATATATTTATTTGCAGAAAAATTACTGATTAGTAGATAAATAATTTATTTTTAAATTTAATTGTAATTAATATTAATGTATAATTTATATTATACTTTATTTAATAATCAGAAAAAGAAACCTTTAAAACAGTTAATCTAAAAAAAATTATTTATATTGATTTACATTACAGGAAGCATTGCGAAAGCGTCTCTTTTCACTCAAGTTATCAGCAAATATTATTATGTTTCTGCTATCGCTAAAGTATGTTATAATTAATTAAAATTTAAATTACCCCTGCTTTTATATATTTTATATGCTCTTCTCCTACAAACTCTACTCGAGCAGATGAATTGGTTTCAGGCTGTCCATTTTTGCCGCAAACTGGACAGTAATTTGATAAACATAGCATCGAAGGCCGAAATGGATGCTATAACCAATTTCTTAATCGCAAATGGTTTCGTGAATAAACGTTTTTGGACAAGTGCTAATGATTTAGAGGAAGAGGGTGTTTACAAGTCCATCAGTAACGGCCAACCAATAGCTTACACCAAATGGGGCGATAATGAACCAAACAATGTAAATAACGAGGATTGTATCGAAATCACTGCAAAAAACAATATATTCTATATGAACGATAATGATTGTAAGCCACTGCTTGCAAATATGCCTTATACGATTTGTGAACGGGAAAACCCAGAAGATTTTATTCCTATAAAGGCAGAGGCGCGCGAAGTTGTACCGCCAAATTGTTCTGTGAAAAAACTATTGGAATTGTGTCAATCAATGGGAAATATTATGAATTGCAGAGATTAAAGGGTATGGGTAGAATATTTTCTAATTCTTTTCAATTTCATAATTAAAGATTTTGTATAAATGAATATATGTGAATTTTTTAACGCTTCATTAATGTAATATAATGTAAAAGTAATAAATAAAAAGAAACAAGAAAGAAGATCTGTCTCAGGCCATTACGAACTCTCTATACCTTTCATGACTATATTACATTTGTTGTTTTGGGATTAAATGCGAATTCTCATTACTGAAAACAGCTTATTGGTTGCAGGAAACTACATATACTCATGTGTAGAATACTAAATCTCTGGCGGATTTTGCGGATTATTGACCTAACACCTCATATCTGAACAATTCAGTTGTATGGCAAACAATAAAGTTCTCTGATATCGATGCTTTTCACTGGGAATGTTTATCTATATGAAAAAATTATATTAAAAATATCTTATGTTATTTAGAATATCAAATTTCACACCATTTGTTGCGTTTATGATGGATTTTACACCAAAGCATTGTATATAAAGGGTGAACCCTTTCGAGATTCCTTAATTTATTAAAGAAAACAACACGGAGAATTCAAATTTATTGAGGAATGTTTGTCACCATACGAAAGAACATTCTTTAATATTTAGTTTTTTGAAGATTTTCTCTTTTAAATGTTAACGTTGGCTACGTCTCAGATGGTCTATCCATTAAGTCTAATTTTCGATGACTCAGTAAGAAATTTCGACCGGTAATTGGCGAATGGCACACGTGATGTTTTGCTCCAAGGCCTGAATTGAAGACTTTAGACATTACATATCTCCGCTGGAAAAAGTCTAAGGCTGCAACTACCCATCTTACTTACCTTCCGTGAATAGCAACCTATCTCATGAGAGCGCCATGTAAACATAAAGTTGTCACCGCTTTCCCATGCCGTTACTGACGGTTGTCTCAAAGAAGTCAGCGGCGCTTTGGTTTGTTCCGTAAAACCGGCTCGCCTCATTTCTCGTTGCTATACAAGATTTCTGGTTTGCCATTGATCACGAATTAAAAAGACAATATCTGGTCTGCCAATCCTAAAACATGCACATGTCATATAATTGTCCATGCGCGAAGAAATTCGTATCTGACTGTAGACTCCTCAATTCCAAAGATCAACCTTGTGCTTTGTTTATAGTGATGGCAAATACTAAACGAACAGGGAACTATAAGAGAATCGAGAAATGCGGACGACGAGAATGGTTGCTTCTATTAAATTTTTTGACTGCAATTCGTATGCCGCAGCTAATCAATTGTGTGACGGATTCGCTTTCAGTGTTGGACTCAATAGTATGGCTGAGATTATAGACATCTTAGTTTGTTGCAGCGGGCATAGATCGCTAACTCAGCCAGCCATGACCTTATTAGTTTGGATAATTGGGAATCCTTCGTAAGCAAGTTCTTTTCGTGTCACTGATCCGTCTGGAAGTCCGATCAATTGGCAAATTGCTGTGAAAATACAACGGCCAATGGTACATTTGAATGGATGATGTCGCCACAATATTGACTGTATTTTAGGCAAGCATTGATCCCATACGCTGATCGAGCAAGGACAGGCAGTATTGTTGTGTAAAAGTTCCAGTCGGTCGGTAACTCGAAGAGTGGAGAGTTGAGTTGATGCGGCTGCTGGTCACAACCAGCGCACTTAGTCCAATAGGCTCATTGTGATATCGCTGTGGGGCTCTTGTGTTCACCTTTTCAAATGATCCAACCATTTCGTGTACCTTATAAAGGTGTTGAGATTTCCAAATTTCGTTGTGGCTATCTCAGCGAGACAATGTCAAAGCCCATATCCCATTATTTTCCCTTGAAGCCCCATTAAGTGCCCAGTTATTATGCCGGTCGTTATGCTAATGGAGAGCCGACACCAGCATCATGTGCATGTTTTATTATGGGTAGAAGGGTTGCTCCCCTTGCCAGCTCGTAAGCCATGCAGTTGCCTGGGATGTTACTGTGTAAAGGGACACAGACCACTGCAGAGCTAGACTTAATTGAGAACTTGAGATGTAACGTTACAGAGTAGATTGTAACCGATTCTACTTCTGCCATAGTTTCGAGCAACTACTCGATAGCCTACATCACTGCAAAGAGTTCCGCCTGGAATACCCACTGCAGCGTCTTATGCTCATGTTTAATAAAAGCATGGGAGAATAAATTCCGCAAACCACTTTTCCATCGAGCTTTGAGCAATATATATTCCGATTTGAGGAAGAGTTAAAACAGAATCCAAAAGCCTTTTGGAAATATATCCCCTCTAAAAAGAGTTGTTCTAATATTCCTTCTTGCATGTCTTACTCTGGGAGGAATTTTGGAAGCACTATGGATGCCGCAAATCTCTTTGGCGAACTTTTCGAATCTAACTATTATGAGAATGTTGACACTTCCGTCTGTAGGGACGTGGGAATTTCGCAGACTTTAGATTTTAGATGTTTTGAATGGTCCTTTTCCTCTCCCTTAAAATACATTTTTAATCTTTCGTTTTTGTCTGGTGCTTTCATTTATCGTTCGAAAATTGCTTCTGTCTATCCGTTGTTTAAATCTGCTAACAAGAATGACGTAAAAATTATCTAAATTATCGACTTGTTCGAAAATTCTCGTAAAACTGGTAAAGGATAAATTGTTTTTTGCGGTTAAAGGCTCCATTAGCCCGCATCAGCATGGTCAGCGGTTGTTCTACTGTCACAAACCTAGCCTGTCATTTTTTTTTACTCTTCGTTTCTATCTTGGGTTGGATCACATATCTCCATTTATTGAATTGGATAATACGAGATCTTATGCCATTGAGACCACCTCTGGTGGCATTCTATAAGCTATATTTTGTAAATGAATTTCTGAATCTTGGAAAGTTGTTTGATGTGGGATCTACCTTAATTAATCACATCAACTGCAACATTCCTAAAGCTTATTTCAACCTTGCTTTTTTACGGCGGTATGGTGGTGATTTCGAAGATCTCTACACGCGGAAAATTTTATGTAACGCTTGTATTCGTTCAAAGCTGGAGCATGCTAGCTTAATTAGACTTTTTTCTAGACTTGAAAGCGTCCAACGCAGGTTTAATCGTTTCGTTCTTGCTCCGCTCCATTTTTCCCCTACCTTCTTATACTTCTTGATGTATGCTAATAAATCTGAAATCTCTTGCTCTTCGACGATATATCCAGTCATTACTATTTATATATGACATCATCAATGGCTTAGTGAACTGTCCAGGACTGCTTCAGCAAATCAGCTGTAATGTTTCTCATAGAACTTTGCGATCTCATTATTCCTTCTACTTAGATCTTATTATCATAATTACGATCCTATTGTTAGAGCACTCTCTGAATTTAATAGAATCTCTAGAAGAATTGATCTTGATTTCGCATTTCCGAGATCTCGTTTTGGCTCTATCCTTAATGCTTTTCATTCTTAGTATTTATTCATAGTTTTAAGTATTTAATTAATTTGTACTTCTAGTCTGTAAGATTTGTAAATCAGTGATTGAATAAATTGAAATTGAAAATCTGAAATATTAAATCTGAATGCAAGAATGTTATGAGCATCATCACTGAGGAACAAATATTGCACAGGAAAATAAAAAATATTGGATTACTTTGAATGTAAAGAACACCTATGACAATCAACTTTGTAGATGCTGAAGCGATTTTCACCTGAACTCCTACATCATGGTATACATCCCGAGTGTTATTCTAACGAATGAGAAGACCTACAGTTGCTTTGAGGCTATCTCCGAACTCCGCTCGTCACGCGGGCAAACAGACGCAGAACTAATTCGGCCATACGTGTATACGCCAATATATTCCTATGTGTGCAACTGTGAGCGTGTCATAGCCTGCAGTTACTTCGCTAAACATATGCTTATATTTCAATGCTTGCTTTTCATTTGCCTAACTGTTTGGTTAGTCGGTGGGCAATATTTGTTTTTAAGTGCCACCACAAAGTATGTAGCTCCAAGGGTTATACATATACATATACATGTATAAATATGTAAGCAAATATAAAGCTGCATATATGTATATATTGAAGTAGGAGCGTCTAGATGCACTAGTCAAAAAGTACTTCTCAACTTATCTCCAAAGCAAGCAGAGCTAGTCAGTATATAGTCTTCTTTTAATAACAGCAAACATCAGTTGTACTTACGAAATTTACCAGTCTCATACTAGTATGTAATAAACAAAATACCAACTAGTTCAATTTAGTACTACTTCGACTTCAGTGTCCAAAGCAAGCAGATCTAGTCAGTCAATAGTTTTTTTTACAATAAGAGCAAACAACAGTTGGCGTTCCAAAATATACCAGTCTAATACTAGTTTGTTATTCAGAAAAAAAAATTGTTTCATTTAGTACTACCTCGACACCACGATAGTCACCACCGTAGTCAGTATATAGTCTTCATTCAGTAACAGCAAACATCAGTTATCCGCCCGAAATATGTTAGTCTCATACTAGTACGTAATAAACAAAAAAGTAACTAGTTCAATTTAATAAAAAAAAAGTCTTCTAACAATAAATAAACAAATATTAGTTGTCCATATTAAATTTGTAACGGAAAAAACTTACGAGCTCAATTTGGTAGCAAATTATATTTACTATTGCAATATATTAAACATTTAATAATATTTTCGTTACTGGCATCAGTTTGGTATTATTTTGAACTGGTGTGATTTCAGCATAGTCATAAATTAATATTTTTCTAGACCATTTTGACATAAGACAGTAGGCAATATAATCAGTTTGGATGCTCATTTGCAAATCAGATTCTTTTGTTTTTTCCCCTGCATAAATACTGGCATCAGCTATGTACAACAACTGCACAAAAACAGCAAAAGTGTCGATTACAACAATCGTTGTGTTTAACAGAAAAACTCCTATAAGCGTCACGCACTCTGTAAAAGAAAAAGAGTAACAAAAATGAAGGGAAGTAGATGAGAAAATATAAGAGAAGCGTGTATTGCATACGCAATTTAGTCTAATGCTCCGATCAGTTGCATGTAAATACTTTGACTGCTGTTGTCAGCAAGACTTGCGGAAGTTTAAGATCATACAAACGTCTTTACATGTTAAATAATATGAAATGAATTGTGAAAACATATCAGTTCGGATTTCACTGTTGCTATTAAGGATTATACATCTTCTTAATT